TAATTAAGACACTAAGTAGCGCTTGTTTTTAATGCCTGAAAACAAACCATTTTGACATTTAAATTGTATGTGTTTACGCTCTATCAGTCACCGCTCTCCAGCTCATTTCGCTAACGGCAATGAGACTCGTCTCTGTGAGTCTATGCAGGTGACTCAAAGAGGCATAGTCATGACCTAAAATTTCACATAATTTCCTCTGCCAAGACACTCACGACACCGCAGGGGTAGAGTTCTGTTCCACCATAAACAGGAAGCTCAGACACAACCCGGGCAGTCAGCAAAAATCGGGCAAAACGGGTCAAAACACTGATGCTGGATTGACTGATATGGACACTTAACACCAGAGAAGAGAGACCTCACTTCTGTCTCACCCAGACATTCTGCATAAACAGAGGACCCTGTGCTGCCCACTGCCCCCCTTTACCTGGGCCCTGAGGGGCAGCACTGGCCAGGATCCACTTCACCAAGCAGCACCTCATGAGGGCTTTGCGGGTGAAACGGGGCCTCTGCCACTTCCCGCTCCCCTTCTGCCCCCCAGGACCGGGCTCCATGCCATTGGCGCCGCCCTGCAGGCTGCTGTCCACCACCTTACTTTGGCCCTGGGGAGGAGAGAGACAGAAGGTGCAGGGAGGAAACGCTTATCCAGGTCTAAAGAGAGCAGGGGGGTGGGGGGGGGGGGGGGAGCAGGTCACGCAGCTCAGGGGGGACTGGCAGGTTATTCGAAAACCTGAAAACAAGTGGCTGCTCCTGTAGGCTGGGGCAGCTTTCACACTGTGAGAAAAATTACTTTCCAAAAGAGCCATTAAGCCACATTTTCTATAGACCAAAGGCAGAGAGCAAATGTGCAACAAGGGGTAAAATACGGCATAAAGATCCCAGAGTCAGGGAGGGCATGTAGGAAACCTTGAGGATTACCAAAGATCAGGAAGCAAGTCAAAATAGTGCATCACAGTGGGGAAATCCTTCTGCTGCAGAGGTAACACACTGCAAGGCCATCGCAGACCGTCTATGACAGGGTTATTCAACTCATGGTCTTCGAGGTCCGAGCACTGCTGGTTTTCCAGCCTTCCTTTACCTGTCAGTCAGGTGTGAAGCCTCTGACAAATCAGAATCAGTAATTATTAACTACCTTGGAGAACTGAAAACATGGCCTGGATTTGGAATCGAGGTCCAGAGTTGAAGAACCCTGGTCTATGACCTGACACAATTTTTTTTATAGCTGTATCTACAGATTTTCTATCCATCTGATCTCAGCTAGCCCAGCACGAGACATTATCTCAGCTCTCAAATACTACACCCTCCTGTCTGCTGTTAGTAAAGTAAAGAGCACGATCCTCTAGTTTCAAGCATGTAATATATTGTAATATATGGGGCTGATTTTGTGGTGGTACTATATATAGAGAGAGCGACTGCAAGAATGGCTGATAAAAGAATGATTGCGCAGGAGTAGAAGAGAGACAGGGAGACTGAGAGTAGGCTGTTCGTGGACTGTTTGTTCGTATAGATGCTCCCCGGGTTACGATGGGGTTACGTTCCAATAAACTTATACTTAAATATCATAAGGTGAAAATGCAATTTAATGCACTACAACTAACCTAATAAACACCATAGCCTGGCTTACTTTAAACATGCTTAGAACACTTACATTAGCCTACAGCTGGGAAAAATCAACAAAAAGCTAGTTTTATAATAAAGTGTTGAATATCCCTTGTAATTTATTGAATAATGTACCGAAAGTGAAAAACAGAATGGAATTGGAATACTCATCATAAAGTTGAAATATCGTAACATGGACCATTGTAACCCGGGGAGCGTCTGTATTTATTCTGAGAACAAAATAAGGAATTTGGATTATTAAACATCCACTAATATCTGTCCGTTCATCACAGCTTCTGCGGAAAAACCTTTGCAGGGGCGTGTGGCTGAGGATGTGTATAGGCATGCGGGGGGCAGGTGTGTGTCCATGTCCTGCTGTCTGTGTTAGAGCAAATTAAAACATAAGCAGCCTATTACAGTGTCTGTCCCATCTGATGCCCGAGCCAAAGCCAATCAGGTCATGCTGCACTTAATAATTCACACTTCTAAAAAACATCTTTAATAAAAGATCACAACTGGCCCGAACACTGGTAACTGGGAACAATAATCCATTATACTCTGTGTACACAATGATGTCTGGGGACGGACTCCTTCTGGCTGCGAGCCCATCTGCAGGTGGCCAAAAAAAAGACTTCTGATTTCGGATATCATGGATGACTCAAACCAGGTGTAAATTTGGATTTAAATGGCAATACTTATATTAAAATGTGTCCTTGGATACGGTAATGCAGGATTTCTATGCCCACCAGGTACTTCAGAAAGCAAGGCAAGAAGCACAGGAAATGTCGAGAGGCATCATATACACAGTAAAAGGGTCACACATATTATTCAATACGGGTGTGAGACATTTGGCTGTATACAATGCAGCAATAAGGCTTGGGTCGGCCGATCGGGAAAGACTACCTAGTGTCAGAAAACGCACACCTCACTGTGCTTATTGAAAAGCTGTGCAGTCATCTGCATAATTAAACTGCATTACCTCGCAAATCTGCGTGCAGTGGAAACCACTCAATCACAGTATTCTGGAGAAAAGGGATGCTGACCTGCATTCATGCCCTGACACAGGTGCTGCTTCATCTGTGTGGGTGAGCACTGAGTCCGTGGTGTCAAAGACAGCAGATATTCAGGAGAGTCACACCATAGAGTCAGAGCAGAACAGGGAGGCGAACGTGGGGGTTCAGAACAGAGCCAAGAGGTGGAAGGGAGAGTCAGAGCAGAGACAAAAGGCAGGCAAGAGAGTCAGAGAGGGACCAGAGGTGGGCAGGAGAGTCAGAGCAGAGCTGGGAGGTGGATGAGAGAGTCAGAGCAGAGCCAAGAGGTGGAAGTGAGAATCAGAGCAGAACTGGGAGGTGGGCAGGAGAGTCAGAGCAGAGCTGGGAGGTGGGTGGGAGAGTCAGTACAGAGCTGGGAGGTGGCCAAGGAAATGCTAATGGCCTTCAAACTTTCAGAACTCCAGCTTCTTAAATATGTATTTATATTTAAACATTTAACTAATGGGGGAAAACCACAAGTGTCTCTCTACTGTGGCCCAGCAAGTGTGAGCAAAGAGAGGAGACACAGACGAATGGCCTCTGGGGGAAAATGAAAAACGTAAAAATTACATAAAACCCGCTTTACCCAAAATAAGCCTCTGTAACTATTTTTGCACTTTCTACAGTGATGGAGCAAATGGGCAGCATTATATAATAGCCATGAGGGGGGGGTGTGGGGGGGGGGAACAAACCTACACACCCTTTAATCAGAAAGCCCTTTCATGTGCACAGAAGAGAAAAAATAGTTAAATATAGAATGGAAAATAATTATGCTCAGGCAAGACCAGCTGGGTATCAACATATAAAAAGAGAGAGTGGGGGGGTTGTATTATTTCAGTGTTCATGTCTATAATACTGTGTAATACTTATATACAGCAGTGAGGGATAGATACTGGGTGAGGTATTCGCCATCGATTCTGGCCATCCAGCTGTGTTTAGGGGCTGATGGGCTCCGGAATGAGGCCTGAGTGACAGTTAAAGAGTAAAGTGGGTGGGGGGGCGGGGGGGGGGGCATGCAGTTATAAATCCAGCAGCAGCAGAGGGGCAAGCAGCCACTTCTCATACATAAACAGGGCAGAGGAGGCAGATCTGATCCTTCCCTCCAAACGGAAAGCGAAGGCTGAGCAGGAACATGAAGGACGTAGTGGACACAGGCCACACCCTCAAACCACACCTGGCCAATGGGCCTCAGCCACCGGAGGCCGCGCTCAGGCTACATCATGCTGCTTAAGGGCAAATTCACAAAAAAAACACAAATGTTATTAATAAGAGAAATTTCACTTTTTGTTTTAAAGATCTATCTATGGACCATCTTTGTCGGGGGAACGCGGAGGTCTACCCCCGGCTGATAAGCAAAGAATGTGGGGGTGCAGCCTGAATGGGCCTTAACCCCTACCCAGCCCAAACCATAACCATTGGCTTGTATCACGAAGCGGGGTTACTGTCTAATCGGGGTAACTTGTCGGATTTAAGGAACCACAGTTTAAATGGACTTCATATTCGTTCACTTACATTTTGCCCAGACTACCTTAAATCCGACAAGTTACCCCAATAATCCAGTAACCCCGCCACATAGTGCAGGCCACATAAGTAGCCAAACAAATAGAATTTCTACTTTTTTCATTGCAGTCACAGATTTTGTAAAATACAGTTTTCCCATATGGGGGGAAAAAAAACGGGTATTCATCACGTTGTGGGGACATTTGGTCTACACACACACACACAACACACACACACAAACGCATTTGTATTCATATCTTTGTAGGGACTGTCCATTCAATTCAGTGGGCATAATCCTAATTCTCAACTATGATGACAACCAAATGATGCTCGAAAAATGGTCCCCACAATGTCAATACAACAGGTTTGTATCACACTGTGGGGGAATTTGGTCTCTAAAATGTAATA